AGATTTTGATTTGAATGGTTAATTATTTTATTTTCAATATTTATTATTTTTTATTAAGTTAGCGTTAGGCTCTCCATTTTCTCCTTGAGCGCTGCTTTGCTACAGCCAGATGTTGCTGTGTAGTCGCCTTGTTTCTTTTTATTTGCTCCCCTGCCTCTTCCTTTCTCACCACACACACAGCTTCCCACTTTGTTTAGAGAGCTCTTGTCTGAAGGTAAACGCTATTGCTATTCCCAGGCAGTCCTTTAATTAATAATGCTTATATGGTTGTGCATTCTGGTTTTCCATATTCAGTGACTCTGGACTTGGAGTTTCTCCAGAGGACAGCTCTCACCTCTGCGATAGCCTCTTCTCTCGTTGGCTTTGTAGTTTTTCCATCACCCTGACACTGTTTGCTCTTTCTTTTCCAGAAATTGCTCCCTTTTCTGGCTCACTCATGATAATCTTTGCTATTTCTCAGTACTCTTAGGGAATTTTTCTTCATCTCTCTCTTCTGTCATTTCAGTGATATGGAGGGAGGCTGGGGGGTGAATGAGTGTTCTCATGCTGCCATCTTAAGATTATAAGCCTAGATGGGATCTTGACTGGATGGGAGGAGGGCCCTGTTGGGGGAATAACAGACAGTGCAGAGGCAGGGGTGTGGAAAGTCTTTGCTCAGAATCATTTTCATCTGGTTTCTCTTTGCTTCTCAGGTTAACTTTGTGCTCTTCGTCGGCATCATCGTCATCCTCGTGCAGAAACTTCAGTCTCCAGACATGGGAGGCAATGAGTCCAGCATCTACTTGTAGGTACCATTAGGTGAATGCCATGGTCACGTCCAACAGCTGTATGGGCCCTGCACACAGGACACAGGAAAAGAAGGCCTGGGTGTCGCTGACGGGGTAGCCTAGCACGGGCGCTGGCAAGAATTCTTTTGGGTTAAAGTACTTTAAAATGTAGTTCAGCCATCTTCCATCTCAACCCTTCTTGCTTTGTGGTCAGGAACATGACCATCTGGGTGTGTGTGCTGTGGAGGCACTTCCGGCCCCGGGGAGGCAGGTTGGTCCCCTGTGATTGGCTGGAGGGGCCAGATAGGCACAGGGAATCTGAGGACAGTCTCTGGTGTGGAAGCCGTATGTGTTGCGTCCTCAGTTTAAGAAGAGAGCAGGTTAGAAGGATCTGAAGTGCTCTCATGGCATCAGAGGGGGCTGGTCCGTCCTCCGTCAGAGGCTGCAACCTGGGGCTCAGAACCTTGATGGCTGCCCAGTGGACAAGTGGGACAGCAGCGAGACTCCAGCAGAGGGCTCCTCCACCCTGCCATTCTCCCGGAGAGAGGGAGAGGCAGGAACTGCTCAAGGATCAGCGCCAGATACTTCCCTCAGGTTCCTTGAGGCTTCCCCAGGTCAGTGGAGATTGCCCTTGGTCTCGGTTCAGCCTGGGTACCTCTCCTGTGATAGCCCTTCCGCTGGGGGCAGGGATTAGCCTAGGGCCTGGTTCCGTCAAGCTTGTTTCTCCCCGCGTGTAGGATGATTACATTGACCGCCCCTCCCCTCCTTCTTTTGGCTCTCCTTGTATTGCCCTTTATTTTTTCATGTTTTGGCAAATGTTTACCAACCTTTGCTTATATGTATGTGTATGTTATGTAGCTGAAAATTGTTCATCCACATAAGTCATAAACTCTTGGAGGCCCTGCCCTGATGGGCTGGTAGGGCCAGCTGTCTGCAAGTAACTGCCCCGGAGAGATCATTCCTGCATTCTTCTCCAGGAGCCACAAAACAGGGCCCCGCCGCTCCCCTCACCTTTTCTGGTCCAGTGTCAGAAACCACGTCCTTACGTCTGGCCTGCTTATCCTGCTTGACGGTGGCTTGGTTCCCACGCTAGCAGTCATCTCGGGCCTCTGAAGCTGGTGGGTAGCAAAGTCGGCCTTGTCTCTCCTTTGAGCTCTAAGCAACCATGGTTCCCCCAGCTCCTGCCCGACCTTGCTTCCCGGTAGGATCTGTTTCTTCTTCTGAGGTCCCTGGCACCTCTCCTCTGGGGCCTCTCCTAGCTTCCCCTCACTCTGCCTGTGCAGGGACACACATGGTGGCTCAGCTGCAGCCTGAGTAAGGACCCTCTACTGACCACCGGACATACTTTACCAGCTTGGACATCCCTCCCCAGGCAGCAGGAACCCCAGGGTCTGGAGGGAGGGAAGTGTGGAGCCAGGGTTTTCAAGGTAAATTGTAGACTGGGAGCTGTAGAGTCTTGTCAGGCCTTCCTAATGCATAGATAAGAACCATCTGTAATTAGCACAGGGTTTATACATTTAAGTACAAACGTTTAAAGAACCAGCTGCAGGCATGCCTCGTTTTATCACGCTTCACTTTACTGCGCTTCGCAGTTATTACAAATTAAAGGTTTGTGACAACCTTGTGTTGAACAAGTCTGTCAGCCCCATTTTTCCAGTAGCGTTTGCTCACTTCGTGTCTCTCTCAGCGTTTGCTCACTTCGTGTCTCAGCGTTTGCTCACTTCGTGTCTCAGCGTTTGCTCACTTCGTGTCTCTGCGTCACATTTTGGTAATTCTCGCAATATTTCAAACTTTTTTGGTGATCTGTGATCAGGGATCTTTGTTACTACTATGAGTCACTGAAGGCTCAGATGATTAGCATTTTTTAGCAATGAAGTGTTTTCAAGTTAAGGTGTGTACGTTATTTTTTTAGACATTATGCTATCGCACACTTAACAGACTACAGGATAGTGTAAACATAACCCTTATATGCACTGGGAAACCACAAAATTGATGCGAGTTGCTTTATTGCAATATTCGCTTTATTGCGATATTCGCTTTATTGCTGTGGTCTGGAACTGAACCCACAGTATCTCAGGGGTGTGGCTGTAGTTGGTTTACTTTTTTTTTTTTTTTTTTTTTTTTGCGGTACGCGGGCCTCTCACTGCTGTGGCCTCTCCCGTTGCAGAGCACAGGCTCCGGACGCGCAGGCTCAGCGGCCGTGGCTCACGGGCCTAGCCGCTCCGCGGCACGTGGGATCTCCCCGGACCGGGGCACAAACCCGTGTCCCCTGCATCTGCAGGCGGACTCTCAACCACTGCGCCACCAGGGCAGCCCTGGTTTACTTCTATCATGTAAAAAATCCCCCTCAAATCTCAGCACATTTTTTTTTAGAGAAATCTAAACTTGTGCTCGTCTCAAGCCCCAAAGATTAAACCTGAGGTGGGTGTGGTCTGCAAACCAGGTGGGAGGGGCTGACACAGGACAAGGGATCAGCTTGACCCCATTAAATGCAGCAACATGCTTGAGTGTTTCCAGGGTCAAGGAGACCCTACTGGTGGAAGTGAGGGACATTCAACGTGGCCGTGCCGCTGAGAACTGCAGAGCATTTAAAAACACTTGCCATTCAGTACATGCACGTTTAATGCCCGCACAGCAAATCTGGATTAAATATAATCCCCATTTTATAGCCAAGGGAACTAGTTATCAGCGAAGTTAGATGAATCCAGCAGGAAAGAGTGAAGCCATAGCCACAATGCAGGCAGACCCTTGACTTCAAACTCGACTGCACCATCATTTCTACCCTCCAAGACTTTACAGACAAGAAGATAGTGTTAACAAGGCTTCCTGGAAGAAGAGGCCCCAGTGGGTTCCAGCCTTGTAAAAAACTGCCCCACCTGGAGTGCTTTGAGCTGGGAGGTGTCTGCTGCAGGTGGGGAGGGGGGTAGACAATGGGGGGGGATTAAAAAAGGGGCATGACATGGTAGGCGAGGGAGATTTCGGGGCTGCGTCCAAGTCCCCTTGGGTCAACAGAGTTATGTGTTGGGCTGATATTCCTTCATATCTGCCCACAACAGCTTTCCAGTTTTTTCCTCTGTTTCCAGAACAAATTTAAGCCTGGGCATCCCCAAGAAAGCCCGACAGGACCCCCTGCCCGTGCCCTCAGACCAGCATTCACTCCCCTTCCTGTAGTTTGGTTCCAGCTGCTCAGATGATAAGAGTTTGTCCTCCTCCATAGACCAAGACAGCGCTCCCGACCCAGCCGCAGAGGGACCTGTTGGGGGCTGGGGCTCCGGCAGGGGGACAGTGGCCCTGAGCCACCTCCATTCTCTCACTGGCTGGTAGGAGTGGCTGGGCTCAGGACTTGGGCAGTGGCCAGGCATGGAGTGTGGGCCTGGGTCAGGGCTAAGCCTGTGCTTAGGCTCGACTTGGTTTGGGGCAGAGGGTTTGGGCTCAGCCCCATTCTGGGGTCAGGGTTAGCCTGCCTTGTCTTGGGGACCAGAGTTTACCTCTGTGAGAAGCCAACTGGTTGAGAAAAAGGAGGGTGCGGTTTCAGGGCAGACACTGATTGTGCTGAGAGCATCTCAGGCCTGGCCCTACAGGGAGCTGGCTTTATTCCCAGTGCTCTCCCTGCTGCAAGATGGGCACTGGGAACTGCCGCTTGGGTCTGGGGTCAGGGAGGGAAACCCCATCTCTATTTCCCTCAGGCATCCCACAGAGTAGGTCCCCACGGCACCTTGGGGTAAAGGAAGGAGGACAGACACCGTGATGTACTGGGTTGGCCAAAAAGTTTGTTCAGGTTTTTTTCCGTAAGATGTTACCCGAACGAACTTTTTGGCCAACGCGATAGCATATAGCTCAGCAGGGCTGTGACCTACCGAGCGTCGGAGGGATGACATTCGCCTCTGAAGACAGACTCTTCCATGTCTAGGCAGAAGTGCAGCCGGGAGGCTCTCAGTCCAGGAACTCAGCCCACAGCCTAAGGCTCCCAGTTCACATGGGGCTCTATCTTCTCCTTCCAAAGCACTCTCTCCCTTGTCTGGGAGCACCCTATCCTGACAGCTCCTGTTAGGGATTGGCAGTAGGGAATGTTTGACCCCATTTTGCAGATGGAGAAACTGAAGTCCAGGGAAGGAAAGTGGCAACACCTAAAATCAGCAAGTTAGTGGCCAAACAAAGCTTTGAGCTCAGGTGCCCTGACCCCCCAGGTTAGGCAAGGGGCACTGAGGGCTGGCTGATCCTCAGTGGTGGGGGAGAAAGAGGGTGGGCAGGGAAACTCTAAGATCTGCTGAACTGGGCTGCTGGCTGGAGTATCAGTGTGGTGGGGAGTGCCTCCCTGGGGACTGGGCCGGGGCTCTGGGGGTACACAGCATCTTAGCGCCAGGAGGGGCCCTATGGAGAATGTTTAGCTCAGGTCACAACATTCTGTGGGCCTGCCGAGTGTCCAGTGCTATGCTGACCACTAGGAGCAGGGTGAGATAGACAGGGGTGCTGCCCACAACGGGTTCCCCGGCAGGGGTCTCTGTCTAGCATCCTGGGGCTACAGCCCAGGCAGCCTTGCACGCAAAAGACACCGCAGCATTCGTGGAGTTTAGCTTGAGACCAAAGCAGGATCAGAAGAGACCATGTACTGCATCCCTGGTTTATAGATGGCCTGGAAATGGCTTTGACCTTCCTGCAGACACACAACAAAGCCTTGGCAGAGTCAGGCCTGGGAGCCAGGGCTCCCTGACTTGCAGATGTGGGTGTGAGCCATGCACCTGCTGTGGGGTTCTCCAAGCAGCCTCCATCCGCTACCCTTGTCTGAGTTTCTTATCCTCCCTTGGATCCAGATGAGAACTGAGCTGATCAGCCAGCCTAGGTTTATCTCTTCCTCTTGATTGCATTTCTTTTCTATTTTTCACTGACAAGTGACTTTTCAGAGATTCTGACGTCTTTCTCATGCCTGTCTCTGGCTTTTCTGCCACCCCTTTTCCTTTTTGTTTCTTTTCACTGGATCCTTTTGAACAGTCATTGGAGGTTTGGGGAAAGGGGGTCTCAGAGGAGAACAGCTGAAGCTTTAGAGTTTGGGTGTGTAGGAAGCGACATCTGAGGTTTGGGCTCTTGGGCTCCTGGACCCTGATTTCTGTGGCTCACCCAGGCCAAGGTTGAGGGGTTAGGCCACTGGCTGTAGGAGAGAGTAGTCAACCTTTCAATCTGGGCAAGGTAGAGAATAAATTTGAAGACTAGAGTGGCTTCCATTCCTGAAAACCCCATTAAGCTCTTAATTATTGAGGAAAACATACTTGTATGTGTCCATCTGTCTCTTTGTATGTGTACAAAACAGACCTTTGACATTCATTGAGGCACATGAAAAACTTCTCAAATACGTGACTTCCTCACAACAGTGTTTCTGGAATTTTGATTTGCAGGTGGAGCACCTAGGGATTTTGTTAAAATGCAGATTCTGAGGCAGCAGGTCTGAGCCAGCCACTGAAATTCTGCATTTCTAAGAAGCTCTCAGGTGGTACTGATACTGCTGGTCTGGGTAGCAGAGCATCATAACATCTCTCATCTGCATAATGGTTCACTAGTGCCCATCTCACAGTCTGGCGTGAATTGAAACGTGTTGTTAATTAAATGAGAGAATCACAGACATAACAGGGGCAAGGATGCTGGGTGGACCTCGGCTTGCCCCATCTTTGAAGTGTGTGATTCACGTGCTCGCCTCAGCAAAATGACGTGTCACTGCATGTCAAGGACCTTCAGACCTACTCTTAAAAGAGTGGGAATCACAAATTACGAATCCATGAATGCCAAAGGTCCGGCCTCTTTGCGCGCGTCTGTTCTCATTTGCATCCGACCCCCTCAGGTTGATTAGTTCGCCAGCAGCTGCTAGGAGCTCCGCCACACGGTGCCTGAGGAGGGGGTGTGAAATGGGCACCTGTTCTGCAGTCTGACGAGATGACACAGCTCTTACTCCATTTCTTCCATGTTTGTCAGAGATGGAAACAAATGAGTTGTGCCAACCCAGGCACAAGCAGGTGGAGATTGAGCCTGAGACCTCTCTGAGAAGGCAGAGCTCTGTGCCTCACCCAGTGCCAGGTAGAGCTGGACGGGCATCCTGGGCCCACCTGTGGGTGTCTCCTTAAGGTGACTCGTTTCCGCAGGCAGCGGGGCAGAGCCCGAAAGGTGCTCTCTCAGCCTTCAGCCCCTGCCCTCTGAACTTTTATCGAAAAGTCTAGCCAGCACTGTGCAGTAGAACTCTCGGCAGTGTTGGAAATGCCCCAGATCTGTGCTGTCCAGCCCAGGAACCACTAGCTGCCTGTGGCTGTTGAGCCCTTGTAGTGTGGCTCAGGCAACCCAAGAAGTGGATTTTTCACTTAATTTTAACTTACATGGTGGATGTGTAGTGTTTCATGGGTCTGCTCCATCCATCCTACCTCTGCTCCCCTTAGGCCCACACTGAGGTACCCGGGGGCTCAGTCAGAGGAAGGTGCGGGAGGGGAGGGTGCAGGGAGGACCAGTGGGTGCTCCAGCTGGTTTTCACAAGCAAGTGCAGAAATGGCCTGACTCCAGGGCTGGGCCAGCGTGAGGTCCATGGCGTGAGTTTCCAGCTGCCCATCTTGCTGAGGGATCTCCGTCAAGGCCATGCTCTGTGCCTGGAGCTGACTCTGGAGACAGTTCCTGGTCCCCTGCGTGAGCCCCAGTCAGGCCCCACCTTCCAAACACACGTGTTCCCCCCCTCTCGAACCCCACCACCTGTCGGTTTCCCAGCGTGAGGGCTCACATGTGCCTGTGTGTCCGTGCACACACGTATATATGTGTATTTCTGCGTCCAGAGCTGACCACGTCTCGGCCCTTGGCTTCCTCCTTCTCCACGTGACGCCCCGGCCCTGTCTCTCTCTACACCCTGGGCCTCTCTGCCCGCCCTGTGAGCCGTGTCACCCTAAGTGCCACCTCAGTTTCTCGTTGCCCAGTGCCCGCAGCTGACAGTAATGTGCATCTTGTCACACCCAGCAGCTGCGTGCAGAAATGCTACTGCAGGCCACAGCGGGCTCAGCAGCACCCTTGCAAGATGTCAGAACTGTCCACCATTACTCTGTAAGTGTGCGTGACGTGGCTGCGGCTGGGTGTCCTGGACGGGAGGGGGGCGCATGCTGCTGCTGCCACTGCCCAGAGCTTGCGTCCGCCCCGGCTGGAGGAGGGCGGGCAGCGGGCCTGCGCCTCCAGCCCCAAGCCCTTTCCCAGCTGTTGCACGTTGACATCTGTGTGTCTTGTGAGTTCTCTGCAGCCTCGTGGCCTGGGGCAGGAGGGGAGGTTGCGGGCATGGGGCTGTGGCCACTGTGGAGCAGCTGGGGCGCGGCCGGTGCCGAGCAGGAAGCAGCTTTGAAGCCTCTGCTGCTGCTGCTGCCGTGATGTGTGGTCTTCCGCAAAGCCCCACGTCTCTGGGTTTCAACCTTTGCTGCCAAATTATTTCTAAGGGCCTTGAGCTTGAGTTCATTTAGACGGTCCTCCTGCAGGGGGCGGGACCCTCACCCCACGCACCTCACTCCCACCGAACGTGCTGAGTGGCTGACTCCCAACACAAGCCTATTAGGTGGGTACTTGTATTATCCTCATTTAACAGGTGAGGAAACTGAAGCACAGAGAGGTGAAATGACTCGCTCAAGGCCACACAGTTGGCAGGGTGAGGATTTGAACCCAGGGAGTCCTAAGCACTAGTCCCTGGGGCATCTCTTGCTGGAGCCTCAGCTCCAACTCGGATATCCCTTTAAGTGGGGGAGCCCACTGGAATTGGGGGGGCCTCTGACCGTTGGAGCTCTTCTTTGTATTCTTTAGGCCTCCTCCGCCCAGTGATGCCTCCTTGGGGCAGGAAGACAGAGGCTAAGGCCCTGTGCCGTGGTCTCTCTGGGTTAATCGGATTGTAGCCTTGAGTCTGTGACTCCTCAACGTGGGGTTTCAAGGTTCACACCATATGTTCCCATTCCAAGGCCTCCGAAGGACAGAGGTCCTCGGACTCTGAGACCTAGTGACTTCCTCACCTGCCTCCACTGTGCCATCTACCGAAAGGAGTCATGGGGATGCCCTGGGTCCCTGGCCAAAGTCCCTGATTATTCCTGGGCTGCACTGGGGCCACAGGGGAGGGAAGGCGTTGCCCTTGGACTATACTGTGGGATGCCCTGCTGCATTCGCCACATCTGCCTGGGGCCGGGAAGGGCCTGAAAGGTGTTTCTCACGTACCAAACCCATCCCATCCACCACCACCACGAAAGCTGGAGAAGTTTGGCGTTTTGGTTTCCAGGGCACTTTTCAAACTTCAGGGGCAGATCCCTGGAAACAGATCCATTCTGGGGAGAGGAGGCAAGAAGGCAGGGACCACGGCACATCCCAGGGCTGCCTTCCCTCCTCAGCTTCTTGAGTTAAGCTGCTCTTTTAAAGTAACACCTTTAGGCAGGGTCACAGAGGTACCCGCAAGATGTCCACACACCTGCGTTTCCAGGCCACTGTCCTCTTCTTTTTGGACTTTCATTCTCCAGCCAGCACTTCCCGCTACCCTCTGGGTGCCTGGAAATGAGCATGAGCAGGACCTGGGCTCCCAGGTCATGCTCAGTGTCAAGGGCTCCCAGGTGTTCATCCCGGGCCCGTGCGGTCATCTGTTCATGGACGCGCACTTTCCGAGTGTGAGCCCTGTGCGTGGCATGTGCTGGCCAGGGCAGATGACAGTTAAGTGGGGTACCGTGCCTGTCTTCAGAGAGCCACATCCGAGAGAGGACAGACAGATGAGAGGCTAGACCACTCCCAAACTCAGCTGGGCTCTGAGTGGGAGCCCATCAGATCCTGTTGGCGCCCGCTCTGGTCCAGGCACCCCCAGGTCCTGTAGAATGGGCAGTCAGTGAGCACGGGGAGGATTGGTGGGCACTGGGCACTCGAGAGGCTGTTTCCTTCCGGGACTGAGCCTTGGTCCACCTGAAGGTCTCCCCAGTCTGTTCCTTCCCCTTCTGCCGTGTCCCCTCCCCTGCTTTCCTTTCTTCCCCTTCCCCATCCTTTCCTTCTCGGTAGATGCTGCTAAGCCAAGGGCATCACTCAGACTCCATGGACTCTACTTCTGAGATCCGGAGGTGCCGCATTCAGCAGAACATTCTCTCCCAGAAAGGCTGGGATGGGAAAGAGGGAGGGAGGGGCACACGGCGTGACTGCCCCAAGTCAAAGGGCCACCCCGGTACCCCGCTACCCGGACTCTGCTAGGAGGGCCCAGGGGGCGGACTGCACCTGTAGGGCGGGGCTGGCTCTTCCAGGAGATCCAAAGGGAGCCAGTCTGCTGAGGCGGGCAGAGACGGGGTCCGCCCTCTTGGAGACCCTCTGGGAGCCGCCCTCCCCCCGGAGCAGGACCCACAAGAGCACATGTCGCCGTGCCTACTCTTGACGTTTTCCCGTGGCTTCTGTACCCCCCACCCTCTCAGACAAGAGCCCCACCTCACTGGGCCTAGGAGCCCGTTGCAGTCAGAGGAACCTCAGAAGAGCTGGCCTCAGGGAGTACTGAGGTCCCTTGGGCCGTTTCTCCCTTGCCCGTTCTACTCCCACCTGAGCAGGCAGCCTTCGCTCCCCCGACTCAGTTTCCCAGGTGGCAGGTTCCTCCTGCCAGATGGTGATTGTTTATGCTCGGAGTCAGTAAATCCTTCCTAGGACCCCTCCCGTGTCTCTCCTTCTGTGGTCTACCCAATGTTCCCCACCCGCCTCCCTGTCATCAGCGCCTCTCCATCACTCTCCACGAGCATGCCTGGCTAGCCCCAGACTCAGGAAAGCCGACTGTCTCTGTGGTCCCCTAGGGGCTGCACTTTCCAGGCACAGGGAGCTTCTTTTCAGAGCAGGAGAAAGCTTGTTTTGCTTGAGGACACCTCGTGTTGTCCTTCCAAATCCCATCCCAGGGTTTTGCCCTGACTTCACTTTTCCCAAAGGTTTTGCACCTCCCAAAAAGGGTCTGTGTAAATCACATACTCACATGTGCGTGTTTAGTGGTTCTACAGGATACCGGCATGGCCTAGAGGGATGGGTGCCCTGCAGACAGGGGGTTGTCTCCCCAGCACTTCCCAGGGAGTTCTGGAAGCCTGGGCTCTGTTGGCTGCCATCTCCCCCAGGCCCCACGCACCGGGAGAGAATCCTGAGGGAGCCCATGGATAGGGGCCCCAGCTCCGGGGGAGAGTAGGGGCTGGGACTGGGCTTCTCTGCCCTCTGTGGCTCTGGCCCCACGCCCTGGCAGCCCCCGGAGCAGATGTTTTGCTCTTTCCCCACAGACGGCTCGCCCGGTCCACCCTGCTGCTCATCCCACTATTTGGAATCCACTACACGGTCTTTGCTTTCTCCCCAGAGGACGTCAGCAAGAGGGAGAGACTTGTGTTTGAGCTGGGGCTGGGCTCCTTCCAGGTAGGCATGGTGTGTGTGGAGCCAGGGCCCTGGCCTCTACCTTGTTGGTGGTTCTAAGTCTTTAACCTGTTCTAGGTTCCACCTCTGGAATAATAGTACTAGATTAGAAGGGAGCTGGGAGAGCCCTTTCTACTGTCCACCCTCTAGGCTCCCACAAGAGGACAAGCTGATATTTTCATGTTGCTGCTGCGTCTGGGTGTCCTGAGCCAGGCCTCCCTTGGGCAATCAAAGGCGGCAGCTCCCCGCCCCTCACCATCGGCCCCGGGGGTGGGCAGAGTGGCCTCAAGAGACCTCTCTGACTTCAGCCTCTAGAACTGGAGCTTTGTCTTACCCAAGTAAGACAGATCCCCAGCACAGGATCTGGTCACAGGGAGCTGAATGAGCTGAACAGGGGGATGAGCAAACAGATATGTAAATAAGTGATCCAGGGAATGAGAGAGCCAGAGACTAGTAAGTCCGTGCATGAAGGAATCAGTAAACGGGGCTGTAAATGAGTGAGTGAAGGGGTGAGTGAGTCAGTGCAAGGATGCATAGTGAGTAAATGAACAGGTGGGCGCATGAGTGGGGCAGTGAAGGCGGTGGGTGGCTTCCTTGAAAGTCCCCAGGATAGAGCGCCTCTCCCTAGCCCAGCTGTTTAGAGGAGTATTTGACCTCGATGGTCGCAAAGTTAGTCTGTGTATCTGACCGGACTCTCTCCCTTGCCCCATTTTAATTCAAAGCCATTTTGCCCGTTCGGGTTCTTAGCCTGGGAAGGCTGGGAGGTTTGTTGACGAAGCCCCAGCCTGGGAGTCAGAGCCTGGGGTTCCTGTCTCAGCTCAAGAAGTCTAAATGCACAGAATATAAGTCAAGAATGTGTGCAGAAGAGCCGAGCACCTACTCTTCCCCAGGCACTTCTGTGGTGTTCTGTGTGTTCTGCGTACAAGGGTGTCTGGCCGCGGGAGGGTGGAGTGGGCAGGTGGTGGTGGATACAGATAGGTCTGCTCTGTCCTGTACGACTGCTGCCCTCAGGGGGCCTGCGGGCTGGCTGGGGAGCCCAGAGGACACTCTGGGGCGTGCAGGGAAGGCCTTCTCTAGAACGTGGGTTAGAGCTGGCCCTTGGGAATGGGAAGGATTTGACCAAGGGAATGTGAGATCCAAAGCCAGGGTTGTCGGTGGGAGGGAATGCCCCCACCAGCCACTTGGCTTCATGGATGTGGCCATCTTGGTGGAACAGAACTTTTCCCACCTTACCGCAGATTCCCAGGCAGGTGCCTGCATTCAGATCATCTTGTTTTTCTGCTTCCTGGTGTCACTCCCTGCTCCTGCGGCCTCCCACACACCCCAGGTGGAGGGCTTCTTGCTGGCATTCTCAGGTTTTGTTTGTCTTCTCTCCCTAGGGCTTTGTGGTGGCTGTTCTCTACTGTTTTCTGAATGGGGAGGTAAGATCCTGGGCTTCTTAGCAGTGGAGGTACAGCTTGCTGGGGAGCAGACAGGGCTGTGGCCTGCTGGGCGCACAGAGCTGATCCTCCCGACCTGGACTCTGCCAGACTCCCAGCACCTACAGGAGGGGGACGGCAGCCGGGCTGGCGTCTCCTGACGGCCTCCACCCTGTGCCAGATTCTCTCCCGCTTTGCCTGCTGTGCAGCTGAGGCCCAGCCTCCGGAGCCGAGCTCCCTCCGTAAAGGCACCAACTGTTGAGTGCAGACCCACCTGGGAGGGCTCTCACCATGAGACACACCTTAGTCAGGGCGAACTGAAAGTGAGGAAGGACAAGGCACAGGAAACGGTACATACAGTTTCTGAGGCTGGTGCTGGGCAGGGGTGCTGAGTGGGGAGCTATCCAAAGTTCCGCCCTGCCCCCAGCAGGCCAGCCTGCCTGCCCAAACCCATCCCCTGTAAGAGTGGGACTTGAGGGACCCTGGGGAGCGGCTTGGAACCTTCTAGTAACGCTCCATGTCCAGGCCTGTTAGGGTGAGGCTTTTGAGCAGAGTGCAGGACAGAGATGCTGAGATGGGGATGGGGGCTGAATGGGTGGATGGCTTTGGAGAGCGGGCAGAAGTCACTGCACCAAGTGCCTGGGCCTTGGCTGGGTGACCATGGCAGGCTTCCTCCTCTTTTTGCATCTGAGAAATAAGATTAGCTCAGACCACCTACAGAAGGGTCAGATAAGGGTAGATATGGAGAGGCAGACAGGGCCCTGCAGGGAGTGGCTGGGAGACACAAGAAGTCAGAGTACAAGTAGCTTGTCAGGACTAACGGTGGAAGTGGGAGCCGGAACTGGAGGTGGAGGGTGCCTGCACCGCACAGAAGTGCTGGCGAAGGGGGTGGGTATGTGGACGCTGAAACTGGGCATGCCCTGCGCGCACCATGCTAAGAGCAGCACAGGGGGGTCTTGGCCCAGAAGCGTGCTTTATTTAGTGATCCTCAACCCTAACGGCGTACTGGAATCCCCTGGGAAGCTTTAAAACGTATGGGCGCCCCACCCCAGAGATTCGGATGTCATTGTTCCGGGGTATGGTCTGGGCATCTGGGTTGTTAAAGCCCTCCAGGCGATCCTCATCTGCAGCCACCGTTAATGGGAGTGCCCGCCTGGGAGGGGCCCCAGGGCCGGCAGGCGGGCAGGTGAGGTGTGGGAGGGTGTCTGTCCAGAAGTGACCGCCCGAGTTGCCCCCCGCAGGTGCAGGCGGAGATCAAGCGGAAGTGGCGGAGCTGGAAGGTGAACCGCTATTTCACCATGGACTTCAAGCACCGGCACCCGTCCCTGGCCAGCAGCGGGGTGAACGGGGGCACGCAGCTCTCCATCCTGAGCAAAAGCAGCTCCCAGATCCGCATGTCTGGCCTCCCAGCCGACAACCTGGCCACCTGAGCCCACCCCGCCCCCTCCTCTCCTCGGAACAGCGGCTGGGGCTCGGGTGGGTGGGCGCCGGCCCACGCGTGCTGGGCCTCTTCTCTCCCCTCGGGCCGGCCCTGGGCTGGGAGCCCAGCTCCCCGACGTGGGAGAAGGGTGCGGGGCACAGACGGGTATTTCCCCTCCCCGTTTTGGCGCCGGCCCCGCCCGCCATGGGCCCCTGGGCGTTGACCCCAGACATGTAAATACTCCTTAATTTTGGGAAAGTCGTCCCATCCCTCCCCCTCTACCTTGTGTCCCTGCTCACCTCAGGCAGGTCCCCAGCTCCACCCGACCCCGTCCCCGTCCCCACCAGCCTCAGTGATCGCCTGACCCTGTGTGGGAGGCCTTGTGAGCTGAGGCTGGTCACCTTGCTTTGGCGGATTCGGGGTGGGCCCTGCCTGACAGCCCCCCTGCAGTGTCTGACTCTTGGTATGGACTCTTTGAGTCTACTCGCCACCCCGCGGCCCTTTTCAGGCCTGGCCCAGTCCCTGAGGCTGCCAGAGGTCCAGCTTGGAGTGCTTTCCGGTGCAGGCGAGACCCATGCTCACCCAACATCTTGGTATCCAGGTGCCTAGTTGCTGGGTATCAGACAGTGGGAAAGCTCCAGGGCTCTTCCAGTCAGAGACTTCAGTTTGGATGTGGGGCTAAGGCCAGAGAAAGTTCTGGTGCTTTTCATTTGGCCCAAGAAAAATTGCCAGGAGCCAGAAAAGTGGATGTGATTGGAATGGAGATGGAAAGAGTTTGGGGGGACCCATGGAAGAAGACCTTCACCACCTCCATTATTTTACCCCAGACTCAAGGTAGGCGGGGGTTCATCTGGTAGCCTCCCTTCTGTCCCTCCTGTCCCCAGGCATCAGCTGCAGAACATTGAGAGATGGATGCCTCAGAGAAACTCTCCCCCAGCTACACTCACCATATAGAGCCCCTAAGCCCTCCCCCTTCCCACTTCCCCTTGAAGTCAAAGCCATGACTTGGATGAACCAGCCACCTTTCTGTGATATCAGTGAATCGCGGAGCACCTTACACCTCCATGTGCCCTGGGCCCAGGGCTCCCCTTCATCCTCCCCCCGCCCCGCCCCGGACCACGAGGAGCCCCAGTCACCAGCTTTCTCTGGCTTGGGCTCAGCTAATGAAATCGGAGACCTCTGCAAAGACTTCCCTCTGTGCGCTTTAGACATTGAGTCAGCACGGATGCCAGGGTGTCCTAGGGTTTGGGAGGGGAAGCCACACCTGCCATGCTTGTTAGCAGGGGCTGCTGATGGGAGGACTGGCTGCACCCAAACTCCTATCCTGGCTGCCCAGCCACAAGTTACCAGACCACACCCTAAGAATTTAAACCGGGGCAGAACCAGGGTCAGGGCAAGTGGAGGAAAGTGCTAGAATGCCGTGGCCCATGTGCGGGGCCCACCTCATTTGTGTCAGCTTGTGTTTCTGTCCAAGTGTGTTTGTGGGCTTGTTTCACGGGCACGTCCTGGAACACTTGGAGAGTTTGGGAGGATGGGGAATGTTGCTTTGCTTGGTCTTATAAAGAGGAAGAGGCCCAGGGGACATAGGGGCGTGTTCCTGGAGAGGCCTTCGAAGTGGCTGGAGAAGCCTTCGAAGTGGCTGGAGAAGGGCCTAGTGCTTGGCTTAGAGATTAGCCCCATGTCCAGTGAGGCACTGTGGACCCTGGTCTTGGCTAAGCCAGAGGAGGACAGGGCCTGCTTTCCCTGCTCTAGGCACACACGGCGACTCAGGCCAGCCATGGAGTGTGTGGCGGCCTTCCCACCCTACACCTACCTGCCTCATGATCTCCTTCCCTCTGTCTGGGAGCCACGTGTGTTACCTGAGGGGGTGTCCACCCCCTCAGGTAACACACGTGGCTTGCATTTGAGGTCCTTGCATTTGAGGTCCTGTTGGGAGACCTGAGTTGCTTGGAAGGACTCACAGGCTTGGATTCAGAGACACAGTCTGCCTCAGTTGGGCTCAGACTGCTGAGCTAGTGGACACAGTGATCCCTTGCTCTGGGCCTCAGTTTCCCCATTCGTGACATGAGGCGACTTCTAGTGCGTCTCCAGGCCCTGTGCTTCAGTAATTCTCCAGTTCAAAGCCCGGGCGGGTAACAGGGCACGCATCATTGTTACGTGTATCATCTACGGTTCTGAAACGTCTGTGTTTGTGTATGAGTGGAGGGAGGTTGGATGCTGTGTATTCTCCCTTTCTTAGAAATGGGACATCTGTCTCTTCCATTTGGGCACCACAGTGAGAGGGAAGGCTCAGGCCAGGGACAGCTGGACAGGGCATGATATGCAGACCCAGCTGTGTCCCGGCTGGGACAGGGTGCCACGTCTGGGTGGGCAGTGGCTACCCCCAGATCCTAGGAGCGGTACCCTGAGTTTGGACCCTGTTTCTTCATCCTTGCCCCCACCAGCAGGTCTGCTTCACTCTGGAAGAAGTGGGTTTGATCTTATACATATATCATCACAAAATAGCAAAAGCAAAATCTACCCCGACTCCCCATGCCGTGCTGCCCCCTGAGCTGTGGGCCTGCATCCTCGTAGAGGTTCCAGGTTCCTGTTGGTTGCTTTTTGTCTCTGAACAAATTATTGCCAGCCTTGTGAGCAGATGTGCCCGATGTATTTTGAATGCTCCAGGAGGTTAGGCAGCTGTTCTTCAGGGTCACAGGCAGTGGGGGGACAGTCTAAGGTCTGGGTACCACCCTTCCCTCTCTGACCTGTTTTCTCAGATCTGTAAAATGGGCCATAAGGCTAGCTAGCTTTTATAGCCCACTGTATCTCTGAGATTCTCATCTAAACATCAGCCATCTCCTGGGAATGGGCTCCAGGCAAGGATTGCAGTATTCACCTGGACCAGGAACAGGTAGGAAATCATGCTGAGTAAGGAGGGGCCGAAGGGCCTTGGGACCGGTTGGGCTGGAGAGGAGCAGAGTTATCTGACTCCATGTCTCTAGAAAGGGGTTGTTTTTGTTCTGTGCAATCCTAAGGGACAGAACTCACCCAGGGGAGGCCGAGTGTTCCTTGGGATGAAGAAATCTCTCATTCTCTGTCATGACTGTCCTGTCAAGCAGTATCAAGAGAGAGACTCTAGCCCTGGGGGAAATGGGACTCCAAGTCAAAGATGCTGAGCCTGTCGGGGAAACTGTGAGGGGTCAGAGTGTGGGAATCGGGGTTCAGGGCCTCTTTGGCGGTCCGCAGCACGACAGGCTTCATGACTTCCCACCATGCCTGAGGCCAGGCCGTGTTCTCTGTCTCAGTGGGCAGCTCCGTGACCCTCCTTGACATATCCAGGGGCCTGCAGTGATTCCTTCTCTAACCCACACCCCTCCCTGAACCGGCTTCTCTAGGACATAGGGCCAGCGAGCTGGAGCTGGGGCCCAAGCCTTGAAGTACCCTCAAGTCCATTATCACCCACCTCCTTCATCTGACCCTCTCCCTTCCCAGAAGGAAAGCTAGAAGAGGCTTCTTTGTAATTCTGTGAGTACCCTTGATCCACTCAAGGCCACTTCAGAGCGAAAGCAGGGAGTGCTTTGTCATCATAAGTTCCTACTTGGGCCCAGTGACCATGGATGCCTCTGGAAGAGCCCTGAGCAGGGAGCAGGGGACCTTTGCCACTGATCTGTTGTTCGGCCTGGACTCCTTCATGTATCTTTGGGGAAACTCAAAGTACTAGAGCTGGGAGGAAACTTGGAGATCTGCAGGTCAACTCCCCATTGGGCTGATGAGAAAACACAGACAGGTGGGCTTAGCACAGTGCCTGCACCATCTGGGGACCCAGTATGCTTTACAAACCTGAATGGGGAAATGGGCCTGCCAATATGTGCCCCCCTGCACATGAGCCAGAACAAGACACCCAATAAATCTTCCGACCAGAAAACATTCAGCCTTGCGCAGGAGAAGGGCTCTGGTTACGGAGGTTGTCAGGACTCCAGACTGCAGGAGGAACAGTGGAGTCGGTGTGGTGAGGGGAGACCTGCGTTCTAGCCTGACTTGACCACCTGCTCTGTGCTCCAAGGCACAGAACCTCTCTGGGCCTCTGCTTCGTAATCTGAGAAATGCGTGGACGTGATTTTCAGTCTGGCCCACAGGTCAGGGGCAAGGTTGAGGTGATGCCCTTGCATATGGAAGGGCTTTGGAAACTACACAGGTGTGAGCTGTTTACTGGGGTGAAGACCTCTGAAAGGGGGACCCCATGCTGTTTGTCAACTGCTTTGAGCCCTCCTGGGTTAACCTTTGCCCCATTTGTGAAACCACCAGCACTGGGGGGTGGAGGGGGAGGCCAGTGGGCTCTGATGGACACACAATTCCAGGTTTATTCCCATTAGTTGGGCGTTTGTTCTTGGGATAGAATGAGGAGACTTCCATGTGGGTGATGTTAGTGTTTCCATGCCACCCCCCACGGGAATCCTTCAAGAATCTGGGACATCCGTCAAGTGGGCTGTGTCCTCATTTTTCTCCTTTTCCTGACCTCAATGTCCTGGGATGTGTCTGTGCTTGGCCGTGTGTGTCTTGTCTTATGTCTGTCTTCTGTAGCTTTGCCCCTGTGAGGGCTGGAGTGGGGACGCCCCTGGCATCCCAGACGTGATCCAGGCTCGCTGTGGGAGCCGGGCCCACCTGGGTCTCATCTCCCACAATAAAGATAAGCCCCAAAGACCTCACTGCTACCGCTGTGCTCACAACCTTGTCCGGGATTTTAAGAATGTCAAACTGCTATAGATGATTCAATAAATGTCTTATCACTTTTTCCTGGTGGCTGTAACTTGGCAGAAGTGGAGGGCAGAGAGGAGAGGAGGTGGAAGGGGAGGAAATCTGATCCCCCAGAGTAATCCAGTCTATAAGGTCCTGTAGCCTTTTCGAGTCCAAGGGAAAGGTATGAGAATGGGCCTGAGTGACCTTAGAATGGACTTGGAAGAGTAAAGTCCTGACCTCAAAAGGACCTGCAAGGATCATGCAACCTGAGTGGAATCGAGGTCACTTGGATGTTCTGGGTTTCTAGAAATGGAAGCAGCTCACCTCATAGTCTTTGTTGCTTCATGGCCTTTATATTGTCTTATGAGAGTGGCCACTGGCTACCCCCAAAGCTTGCCTGCAGTGAGCATTTCATTCCACAGGTAACCACAGGCTGCCAGAGTCCCATCCCCTAATTCTTCTGGACATTCCGAGTCATCAGCCCCTGCCAGACCAGATAACCAATTCCAGGTAACCCCCATTTCCTTGAGGTTCTGTTGATTTTTCACAACTTCCAATGCCCATATTTATATTAGAATTTTTAGTTGCTAGCTACAGAAGATCATTTTGGCTGATGAATCAGAAAGTAAGTTTAGAAAAGAGGATATTAGGCAGCTCACAGAATTCTTTTGAGGCTGGAGAAAGCAGAAAAGGTGTCTCAAGCCTTATCATGTCATGGAACTGATGCAAAGCTGTTGACTGCTGCTGCTACCAGTTCAGGGATGTCTCTTCTGTGCCAGGGACCCAACCTCACAATTAACCACTTTTGAAAGCAGATAGCTTGGCTGTCTTTGTCACCAGCAAACCCAATTCCACATGCAGCCCCTTCCACTTGCTCACTTCTGAATCAAAGTCTCACATGAGTCCATCAGATTGACTGTGTTCTAGCTGCAATGAGGCTGGAAATCTAACTTTCCTGGAAATTTAACCTTGGGGAGGTCAGGCTCATACATCTGGAGAATTTCTAGATTTAACACTAGGGTTACAAAGTCCTGAAATAAATGCCTACCACCGCAGGCCT